CCCCAAAACCCCAAAACCCCAAAACCCCAAAACCCCATGCGGCGTTAAGAATATTGAAATTAGGAATTTTAGAACGGATAAGTTAAGGTGGATTTAGGGATTTGTATGAGTTGATGATTTTTTGGGGGCTTTTGAGATCCTATAGGGGTTAAAGGGGATTTGAGGTAGATAGGAGGTTAGAAGGCATTTGGATTGATTGTTTGGAACCTAGTTATAAATATGTTGGTCGATCAAATATTTTGAGAAATCTCAAATAAAGTTGATCAGTTAAATCTCAGAATGAAGACATTAATTTTAAGGAAGAGCCTGTATTACTTTGATCTTTCCTCTTTTTATGCTCTTCAAGAAATTAGTGAGCTTATCTTTAAGGTTTATTTTGATTGAGTGGCTTGTGAATATAAATGAGTTTGATAACTTCAATCTTCTCCTTTTTGAACTATTGACTCTATTCTTCAACCAAACACTCGTTTGAGGAAGTGATGACTAAAACTAAATGTCAAATAGTACCATTGAAGATTTCCCTCTATCACTGAGCTTTGGCTTGATACTATTAAACCAAGATAGCTTTCCTCGGAGTTTCTTTTTCGACCCATGTTTCATAAAATTTTGATAAGCTCCTTCAATAATAGGCTTGAGTCCTCTATCATTTCTAAGCGATGTCAAAATATTTCTAACTTACTTAGTATAGAAAGATGTATTTGTGGTAAATTTAACACTTGGCTTATGCTCATTTTTATTCAATCTGTACTGTTTCCTGAGTTTACGAAGTTCTCTAATTTTCTGTTCCTCCGCTTTATTTAGCATCTATTATATTCTTGGCTAAGGAGTGAACCCGTTCTCTATTTAGGATACTTTTGGATACAGTCAAGGAAGATACCCCATCCCTTTCTGTTCTTTCTGGTATGGGTGTCGAAGGTAAGTTCTTCTCCATATCCAAAGTTTGGCTGAGATGGTTTCAACATATCACTCAAGTTTTGTGAAAGATCAAATTTCCCCCAGTCCTCTTTCTTTTCTGGGAGCACCAAAGATCCTAGTTAATTATTACATTGTAAATAAGCGGCTTACCGAGAGACTTCTTCTTAATTTTGTTTCTCTTTCTCGTACTCTTCTTTTCCATTTGGAGTTCAGTCTTATTTCCTGCAAATACAAATGGCGATGCTTCATAGTCCTAAACTGTTAACTGTCATATATACTGAAACGTTGGAATAAGAGTCATTGGCAAACCTGAGCTTCTTGGGAGAGCCTATAGGTAATCACACCATTTACCATTGGAAGAGCCTTGGTCTTTAAAAACAGAATCAAATGAACTCTTATGTTCACTTGCTAGCCTTATACGCATTTCAATTAAATTATCATAACTTGGGGTTTTGGGGTTTTGGGGTTTTGGGGTTTTGGGG